CCCCAACCCAAGACCCCTGTTACGCGCCTGACATGAAACAAAGTAGGCCTACCTAAACCTGGGCCTAGGCCTATTTCCAGTGGCGGATTTGGGCGGGGGTAGCTTCCCATCTAGGCTGAGGGCCAGGGGCCACCAGTGCCCCCGGCGAGGCCCCCTGGAAGCTACGGATATTTTACGAAGTTTGGTGAATTTTATAAGTTATTTTATAGGCATCAAGCTACTGTAATATGATTTCATATTTGTTGTAATTTCCAGTGGCAGATCCAGGAATTCGAAATAGAAGGGCCCAGGGAGGGTACTGTCACAGGTAAAAGATCTATACTACCTCAGCCCCACAATTGTTGGGGCTGAGGTAAGAACATTTGTGATTATGGCACCTCTAGATGGCTGGAAATTACACTCTTAGAGATTGCTTCCACAACCTCAATGAATTTTTTTATTATGAGGGTTATTATTGATATGGGTTCCCCGACGAAAACTTCACTTTTCCTTGTAAACAAATAGGCTCCGAAACGGTGCATAGCGGCAGGTATACATTGTGCTCGATAGTTGCTGGTGGACATGCAATTGTGCAAGAAATGTTTCGCTGCGGTTCGCGATTTGAACTTTTTCAGAGTAGGTTACAGACTAGTGTATAGGCCTCACCAGTGTGACCACTCACAATTTTTGATATACCAAGTGACTGGGTCGAAATTACCCAAGATTCAGCAAAAATTGCCCAAAATTACCCAAGCTTCCTGAAAATACATTAAAATTTTAAAAATATGTCTTTTTCGCATGTATAATTTTCCCTTTTAGTTCAATTTATACACCAATTTTTATTGTAATTGTTTTTGTTAATTATTTAAATTAATATTCATGAGGTGATAATACGGATAGAAAAGTACGCCCTCAGTCGGCCTCTGTTATCAGTAGATCAGTGATCAAGTTTTATTATGTAATGCATTAATTAGGTAAGATCAATGGCAATGCAAATCACAAATAAACAATTCTGAACCCATTATATAGCAATTAACAGTCAATTAACAATGTTATGTGCACTTCGTTGAGTTTTGCTTACTTGATTGGACTGAAATATACTTTGTTACTTCTTAATTCTTCCTCTATGACAAAAATATTTAATTTTCTTAGTAAAAATAAAATACCCAAGGATTTGAATGGAATACCCAAGAACCCAAGACCAAGTCAAAATACCCAAGAACTTGGGTAAATACCCAAGCAGTGGTCACGCTGGGCCTCACCCCAAACTTCGAGGGGAAAATTTGCGGCTTATTCACCAGAAAATATGGTTTATGGAGCAAAAACTTGCGTTCTTCATGATTTTAAGGGGGGGGGGGGCGCGGGAGAATTTGTATGAGGCTGGGCAGAAGGCCTTAAAAATAGCTTTAGGATGAGCGCAAGACGTCAAGATGGGCGGCGCCGCCCACCTTTGCCCTGCATAACGACATCCCTGCACTTCTCAGAACCCCTTACCCCCTACCCCCCTTTCATAAATTTCTGGATCCGCCTCTGATTTTTTTGTCTGAAAATGAAAATACTGTATTACCTTACACAATCATTATTCAAAAAGATACAATCAAGTTATTGCAATTCACAAATGTACATTAATTTTTTACGTACAAAGGAACGTACGCACCCACAGGGTTCTGGTTTTTATCCATTCCTAATATATATAACTATGACATATATGAATTTTATTAATGTAGCTTTCGTATTTTTGACACAACAAAAAAAAAAGTAACCCGTATCTCTGTTTTACATGCATTCCTCCTATACCGCAAAGTCTTTTGTCTCCAGTTGACAGCGCCGCCAACGTTTCAAGAAAGGCCAATGTAAATATAGGCTCATTCCCACAGCCGTTGAATTTTTTTATTTTACCCGATGTCAAAGGTTATATTTTATTTGTAATTGCGCCGAATGTAAATACGCCGAATGTAAATGCGCCGAATGGTAAAAGGGCCGTATGTAAATGCACCGAATGGTAAAAGAGCCAAATGTAAATGAGCCGAATGGTAAAAGGGCCGAATGAAAATGCACTGAATGGTAAAAGAGCCAAACATAATGGTAAAATGGCCGAATGAAAATGCGCCGAATGGTAAAAGAGCCGAACGTAACAGTAAAAGGGTCGAATTAAAATGCACCAAATAGTAAAATAGCCGAACGTAATGGTAAAAGGGCCGAATGTAAATGCGCTTAATGGTAAAAGAGCCGAACGTAATGATAAAATGGCCGAATGTAAATGCGCCGAATGGTAAGCTGTTACCGAAGGCAGCGATGGCGTTCCATAATAAATATGCATAATCATTAATTGACAGGCGTTTATAGAGATTCACTATTTATTGTTAGCAAAAGAAGAGATTGTACTTGTAAATTGTAAATCAATAAAATGCCATTATCAGAAGAATCTAAACATCAAAGCCTGCTAGCAATTAACTCAAACACTACCAGACATTGACAATATTTTCTTTTTAAAATGAAATTTCCTTAAATGAAATTAATCTAAAAGTGCAAGATCATGATGCACTTTAAGTTATGTTATGTTTACTTTGTAGGTTTATGTGCTGCTAAACTACTAGTAGACAATGGGATTGATGTTCTTGTACTGGAGGCACGTGACCGAGTGGGTGGACGTACACACACAATACAGGTAATGTTTACACACAAAAACCCCAACTTACAATGATTTAAGAAAAGACATTATGGAAAATATATTGCTGAGTGAGTGAGAACTGTGTTCTGTTAAAGTTAATAATTTATTTGATTTTTTACTATAAGCAATTCAGTATTGCATGGGTCCGAGGTTCAGCTTATTGTCAGGGGCAGGGATGGGGCGTGCGGGGAGTGTATGTTGGCAAATTTTAAAAATCTAAAATTTTAAACCTCTTGAGAGTTGTCCTTGCTTGCATCTAATCTCTAGGATGCTTCAGTCGGTGGGTACGTTGATGCTGGTGGCTCGTATGTTGGACGTACTCAAGATCGTCTGCTCCGCGTTGCTGAGGAACTGGGCGTGGAGAGTTATTCAGTTGACGGAAATGCCCGGATTGCTTTTCTACAAAATGTAAGATCAATTGTCAATGAATGCGTTTGTAAATCCTCGTTAATTAAACGAATTAAAAAAAAAAACCTATATTTTAAATGAATGGGATGAATATTTTAGTGGATAATACCGATTCACCCTGTATTAATAAAGCCCATCTAGGACACCTCAACACAATTGCATTACGGTATACGTCGTCCTATTGTTTTTCATTTGCTTCCGTTATCTCTTCTATAGATGTAATAAAATAAGATATTGTGAATTCAATATTGCTGTATATATGTTCATGCTGTATTAATGTTCTGGTCGACAGGGTAAGGTGTACCCCTTCGAAGGCTCATTCCCGTCATTCTATAACCCAATCACCTGGATGGATGTCAATCACGTGAAGCGAGAAATTAACTCAATTGGTAAAAAGGTGGCGTCAAAATATCACTTAAAATTATACATATCATCAGTACAATCACCAATATCAATCAGCATGACTCATTTCTAATCGTAGTCACTTTTTATCATTATTATTGTTATTATCATCATAACCATGCTTATGATGTCATTATTGTCATTATTAATTTGGTTAACTGTTGCCATTGTCATCATCATCATCATTATCATTATGCTACCGCATCTCACAACGCCAGCAACACCACTACCAACATGTCGTCGTCATCACCATCTTTATCATCATCATCTTCATCCTTGTCATCATAATCACTATTATCATCTTCATAATCATTTACATCATCATCTTCAACAACACCTTAAGTACTGATATACAATATCTTGTCTGTTACTACAACAATGACCATTGTTATAACCATATCTAGTATAGTTGCGGATTCATAAATTCAAAATGGAGGCGGCCCAGGTAGGGACTTCCATAGATAGAGCGCCTGACCAGCCATCGTGGGGCTGAAGTAAGAAATTGTATGGTTATGGTTTCTGTACATGGCCGGAAATGAGACTTTCAGCCCTAAATTTCAATAATACAATTTTGTTTTTTTACTCCTGTGTTTTCTCAAAAAAGTACCTTTACAATACTATCGCCAGTTGGTTAGGGCCTACTACTTGTATCCATTTTTGTTATCGTATCCATTGCCACTATCATCACCATCATCATCGCCAACGTCGATTGTCACACTAAACATTAATATTTTCATATTTAAAAAAATCCAGTAGGGGGCACGGACCTTACCCCTTCCGTTTAGCCGCTAAATTTTAAAATTTCAATGCAACTCAATGTTATGTGCTACACATTTTCTATTTTTAAACTGTTGTGCCCTCCACCCCAGTTTGAAAAATTCTGGATCCGCCCCTGTTTAAGGAATGCAAAAAGTTGGCGAAACCTACAACATTGATCTGTTCATAGAGAAAGGAAGTGAATCTGTTGAAGCTGCCCGGCTGAACGATATTTAGACTCAGATACGATAACCTTCGTCTAAACTGTTTGATTTGTGTAGATACCAGCTGCTACTCCCTGGGATTGTCCCAACGCAGAGAAGTTGGATAACACAACGCTACAGAAATGGATTGACGATACTACATGGACAAAGTTAGTAGGCCCTAATACACATTTTTATGTAAACATAACTAAGACAACATTAACAAAGTATAAACATGAATAGTTAACTAAACTACACAATTTAGCACTAATTTTGGTAGTCTAAGAGTTTGGGATAATAATCATCGTCGTCATCAGAGGCGACGCCAGGATTTCCTGCATATATGGGCCACACCCACATCAGCCCCCACTCTCGAGCGCACTGTCTTTGGTTTATAAAATATTTGTAACTATTAGCCTAAGTTCTTCACGACAGATTTTTACCTCGACTGGGCCTGGGTCCAGTTGGCCAACATATTCCCAACAAACAAGACAGATAATGGGTAAGACCAGGTGGAGAAGTCAAACAAAAAGAACATATACTTCGTATATTAGCTCCGCAGGGAAGACCCTCAAAACTTACTTAATAAAAAAAAAATCAGTATCTTCTACGTAAGCTGAAGAAATAATTTTTATAAAACTTTTTGATATGCTTAAAACTTTTTGATATGCTGACCATCTCTCTAGCTTGGGACCGAACCTCCATTATTTATAAACAGCTTTCATTCCAAAGCAAGCGTTGATGAAGTGTACCACAGGCGTACTCTACATTCAAAAGTCCTTATATATACATCACTAAACATACAGTCGTGGGGGGAAATGAACACTATAAAGATAACATTCCAAGTCTTATTTTAATAAGTAAGCGTTTCAGATTGAACGTGCAGCCATATGGCTGATCAATTTGTAAAACATTCCAAACATTTAGTTGATCGGCCAAGTGTAATAGACCTGCAAAAAATTTTTCTTCCTAACACAACATTTTTTTTCTATCATAATCAATAATACTCTGAAACGAACTACTTAGGCCTACTTCAAGAATAAAGTCACATATCACACAAAGAAGCCGTGTTGGTGGTAGCTTGTGGCATATATATATATATATATATATATATATATACACACGTCAATAGTTTGATAGTGTTGTTTTTTTTTTATGTTTGTTAATTATGATAATATCGACGTATTGTAAGCCTAACACTTAGTAATGAATAGGCATTATATATATATATTTATATAATTATTTTAATTCACTCTGGTTTAATTACCATTGAGAACCAGCCCACGAATTTCATGTCGGCAATCGGCAATTGCCGACCATCATATTGCCGAGCCAGAATTGCTACAGGACGGCAATTTTTTGCCGACCTAGGCCTAGATTTCTTCGCTTGAAAAACTGCTTGGAAAGTCAAAAACATTTACTGAAACAGGCTATAGCAGACACTAAATTTAATGTACGTCGTCAAACCAAGGAAATTGGTGGTTCATAAAACAGATTTCAGGGGCGGATACAGGATTTAGCATAAGGTGGGGGGTGCGCCAAAGTAAAGATGGACGACCAGCCAAGATACGAAGCACCGAGGGCATGGGCGGATGCAGCCTGCGAGAAAAAAAGGGGGGTAATCTGCGAGTGAAGCGAGCAGCCTTAGGCTGGGGCCAGGGGGCCGCCGAGGGCCCCCGGCGGGGTCCAGGGGCAGATCCCCTGGTGGTGGCGAATCCCCCTTGAAGCCCAGCATATTTGAGGAATATGAGGTTGTATTGAGTCGATTTTGACTATCTAGCATGCTGCATGGTAGTTTTCAGTAACAAATAAAAAAATAATAGGTGTATGTGTGTATGTATAATTTTAATATACAGGGTGCCTGCAAAATGCAACTATGACATGTGTCATTAAATTAGTAATAATTCATCTACTCACAACATAATCTTTGACAACATACAAAGGCTCATAAATGTACACCATTTCAAGTGTTCTATTTCTCACCAAGTGGATTTATGAATGGCATTCTCCTAGGCTGTTTTTGGTAGGAAAAGGAGATTTAAACACTGTGGATGTAATTTTTTCTTTGCGAAAAAATAGAGGTGGGGGGGGGGGGCTGCGTGTGCATCTTTTAGGTTAAAACGATCTATCTTAAATTTTTCTTTCTTGAGTTTGGGACTATTATGTGTTTAAGTAACTTAAAAGGATAACCCTTAAAAACCCTAGTAAATGCGCGTGAAGCGCACAAAAAGTTTTTTGTTTTTTGCTTTTAATTCTAATTTCGTCGGAATTGATCCCAAATCCCTAAAATGTGAAATTTTTAGAGGAAATTGGCCTACTCTGACAAGAAATGAGCGCGAAATTTGAGGATTTTAGGCACTTTTCAGAGGATGAAAAGGGCATTTATCAAGGGGTGGGAAAAAATTTTCCAAAGATGGATATTTTCCCCTTGTCCCCAGGTGTTTTTAATCCTAATTTCGTCGGAATTGATCCAAAATTCCTAAAATGTGCAATTTTTAGAGGAAATTGGCCTACTCTGACAAGAAATGCGTGCGAAGCCCACGAAATTTGAGATTTTTTGGCACTTTCAGGAGATGAAAAGGGCATTTATAAGGGGGTGGGAAAGATTTCCAAAGATAGATATTTTCCCCTTGTTCCCCGGTGGTTAGCCTACGCCATCTGGCAGCTTAGATCAAAGGAGTTACGTGAAGAAGAGGTTGCAGCGTGTTGTGAGTCTGGTCATTATGATATCTTTCTTTTTATTCTTGTCTCTATTTTTCTCTCCTCTTTTTCTTTTTCCTTTCCTTTTCTCTTCCTCTTCTTTCTCTTTCCCTCACTCTCCCCTCTTTCTTTTCTCTCATTACCCAGCCCGATACGACGGCTAGTTCAGCCCGGTAAAAACTGTCAGGGTGGGGCAGTCTTCCCCCTGCCCCCCTCCCCCGCCTGTTACGTCACTGTTTCATGTCAATTAGACAACAGGATTATACAATTTCATACAGTATATCTTTTAAATTACACAATATGATTAAACCAGGTACTGTACTTGAAAACAATAAGGAAGCAAAACTTACACGTCAAAAGTGTCAAATGTTGCCTACACAAAAACTGTACTTTATTATAAGAGTAAATCTACTAAAGGGGTGTCGTCAATGGAGATATGCACACATATGAGTGTACTGTGGTCACTGTGCATGGGGTTGTCTGACAGCACATACCTGCTGACCTCGATAGAGAGTGATTGATTGCACAAAGGTTTCTATGCTGGTGCATCTGCGCTAAAACTGTCTTTGTAGCTATGCATTGCACGATATGAATCAACCTTTCAATGAAATCAACCTTTCTATGGAATTGTGTGTCCATTCAATTATCTCAAAAAAAAAAAAAAAAAAAAAAAATGTGATACAAGTCGCAGCCTCCCCCCTAAATACATTATTTTACTGGTATTTGGAAATTTTTTTTTTTGTGATATAAGGGGGGGGGGGGATGCACGTCGCAGGCCCCTCCACCCCCAACTAAATCTGCCCATAGATTTGTTTGTACAATAACTATTTTTAAAGGCCAACTCAGACAAAAAAAAAATAATAATAACAGTTTTGTTACTCATTCTTTAACATGCTTGACTCTAGCCAAAATGGAAATAGTCAAACACAGTGCTAAACTGTTTTTAACCACCATTTTTTTTTTATTTGGGAGAGGGGAAGGAGATTTTGTTACTCATTCTTTAACATCCTTGACTCTAGTCAAATTGGATATAGTCAAACTCAGCGCTAAACTGATTTATACCACAATTTATTTTAATTTTATTATTATTATTATTATTATTATTATTACATATTATTATACATTATTAAACATGCTTAACTCTAGCCAAAAGGGATATAGTTACTAACAGTGCTAAACTGCTTACCACCATTGTTTTCAATTTATTTTGTGATTGTTGTTCATTCTTTTAACATGCTTGATTATAGCCAAACTTGATATAGTCAAACACAATGATAAAATAGTTTATACCTTAATTATTTTAATATATTTTTTGTTGTTTTTTTTTGGGCGATTTTATAATAAATAGAGTAGTACAAAAAAGTAGTTAAATACATTATTTTACTGGTATTTGGAAATACAACTGTAAGCTCTAACAAAAACCTTCTCTATTATTGCTATTATAAATGATATTAATATTATTATTGTTATTATTATTGTTATTATTATTATTATTATTTATTTATTATTACTACTACTACTACTATCATCAGGGAGATGTAATTTTTACATCTTCCTATCATTATTGTTTAGTAATTTTGTTTTTATTTATATTTCATTATTACATTATTATTATTATGTTATAATTGTTCTTATGATTCTTAACATGATCATATCGGTTATTACCGTCAACATCATTAATTTTGTTCCAGGAACTAATGTTACTAATTAGAAATATTATTATTATTATTATTAATATTATTATTATTATCATTATTATTATTATTATCATAATAATAATAATAACTGTCGACACCGTGATGAACGCTGAGAGAGTGCACGCTAGACGAAGAACAAAGGCTCCTCAAGATAATAGGAAATAATATACCAGACTCCAAATCCAGGCGTCAGAAGGTTTATAAAGTGAAACATGAATGACCGTCCAGTTTGGTATACTTTATATACCTGGCTAGGCCTAGGAATGACGCTAGCCAGCCAAGGCCTACAACATCACCCAATTGAAGCCACGTGGGCCGCGTAGATCGTTATGCTTATCTAAATCTCTTATTTGTCTTCATTTTACAATATTATTATCATATTTAAAATGTTGTATATTATCTAAAAACAACAAAATTCAACATATTGTAGGCCTAATCCTACCATCCGTTTAAACGCAATCACGATCGCATGGTGATTGTACTACTGTACATGTGTGGAAAATCCCTGATAGATCATTCTTGGCATGCGCATGGATGTGCATGGGCAGTTTTGAAGCAGCCTGTGATGCTGTGATGATGATACGATCGTAGCTTTTACGAAAGTTCCCATGCCAAAGATTAGATAAAACGAAATTTATTCGG